TTCAGTATTGCTGATTACTTTGCCTTCCTTACTTTTCACTGGTCGTTCTGGTTTACGATAGTTTCCGGCGAGCTTCTTTGTTATTTCGTACAATTGTCTCAGGTTCCTTTCTCTTGCAGCATTTTCCGCCCTCATTGCTAGATCTTCCACATATTTTTGTTTTTCAGCTTTGATGCTCTTCTTCACTTCTCTGTTTGCTTCTGTGTATGCAGCTTGTGCGGTACCTTTCTCCGCTCTTGTTCGACTGACATTGATTGCTGCCTTCTTGTTCCTCCTTTCTTCAACTTTTTCAAGAGTATCAAAAGAGATCCATTCCTTGTGATGCTGCTTCTTGTGACCCAGAACTTCGTGACATGTTGAAGTGATTTCCTCCTTAATCCCTTTCCAATTGCTCTCGAATGTTGTGTCCTCTCCATTGAGTAGATCCTGAAAGGCCTGGAACTTATTGTTGAGGGCTATCCTGAATTCGTTGAGCTCTACAGTATCCCGAAGAAAGGCCGTATTAAACTTGTGTGATGTTGTCTGTCCCGTTGTCCAGTGCTTCTTTAGCTTCAATCTCATTTTGGTGACCAGCAAATGGTGATCTGAGGCTATATCAGCTCCTCTCTTGGTTCTCACATCCTCCATAGTCCTTCTGAACGTTTTGTTGATACAGATATGATCAGTCTGGTTTTGAGTAGTGTGATCCGGTGAAATCCATGTGGCTTTGTGAATGCGTTTGTGCGGGAATATTGTGCCACCGATGACCAGTTTGTTGAAGGCACATAGGTTTGCAAATCTCTCACCATTTTCGTTTCTTTCTCCCAGTCCATGTCGTCCCATGATGTCTTCATATCCAGTGTTGTCCATGCTAACCTTGGTATTCAGGTCTCCCATAAGAATCGTCAAATCGTTTGGTGAACATTTCTCGACGATTGACTGCAGCCTTTCGTAGAATTGATCTTTAACGTCGTCATTGTAGTCGTTGGTAGGTGCATAACATTGGATGACGTTCATTGTAATGTCCGCTTTCTTTGTTTTGAAGGATGCTTTAATGATCCTGGGTCATACACAAATTCTATCGTGTATGCCTCCTAATATTCCATAATTATAATGTTATCAGTCAGAAGATTATGCTAATTTTCTTAGTGTATATTGTATTATAGTTTTGTGAGTACTAATGAAATGGTTGTTTTTATGTTAATATTATACTAATTGTGTGGTAATATTATAAAAAATCACACAATGTCAACAAATACTGTTGAAAATGAGTAGTTTTAGTTCTCGGGTATTTGTCATGATCGGTCGATTTAGTAAGACAAACAATTCAAACTTAATTATTCCGAAAACAGGAGAAACGATAAATTTTTAGGGATCGGTATTTAGGCTAACATGTCATTGTTGGGTTTATTTTATTTAAAACAGGTTGCTTATACTACTTTCAGTTTTATGACATTTGGTCATGTCCACTGTTATGTGTAGTTACTACGAAATCGTAATTTTGTACATATGTTTGAAGAATTCGACAGGATACCCTGGATCTAGGTTTTGTGCTTTTTACCACTTGTCAGCTATTTATGCCCATAACCTTAATGAGATTGATGCACACTGGCGGGTAAGATCATACGTATATTGCCCAGCTTAACAGATGATACCACTAATCTATTCAGGTCATGATCAGCTTTATATGGGCCTGAGAAGTATTCACAAATGATTGATAATCAGCTAATGACTAATGATATGATGATATTCGTCACCATTCAGTGATCTGTAGGAGTAAACGTTTACGAATATGTTATAATGCTGCTACGTATAGCTATTCAAATCCTACCGACGTCCGAATTCAAATATTCCAATACGACCCAAATACTATTCCCAAATCTCCTATATATCAGAACACAACACCGTTGGATGGAGTTGTTTAATGGGTCGAGTACAGAAGAGAGGTAGGCAAGAAGGAACGGAAACATGAAGTCTTACAGATAGTGCGCATTTATACATTTAGGTGGAATAGGAAAGGGCATCGAATTCTGTGACATTGACAGTTTAGGACGACCAATAGGAGAGAACATTTCAAATGACATTGACAGTCCGGATGACCAATAAGAGACAACATTGAAGTATTTGACTTTGACAGTTAGAACGACCATAATTTTGACTAATAGGATTATACTTCCAAAGATAGTACTCTTAGGATATTTGGTGAATATGTAGTGTGCCGGTTTCCAGGTGTTCTTAAGTTTCGTAAATAGCTCGTTCAGACAATCGTTACTAAATGACGTCTGACGGTTAATAAATCAGAAGATGAATTCGAAGTATCGTATACGTTTATTGTGGCACACCACAAATAAGGATAGCAGACCACAGACAGACCGGACAGACACACTAGCGAGCAAATATGCGAATGGGCGAATGAATTAACAAGATTAAAATGTTCGTATATATACAAAGGAAAATGTCTGAGTCATTGTGGTATTTAAGAGATTAATATTAAAGCGAATAGGATGCATATGCGCGTAGGCGTTAAGCAATGCTCAGTCATACCAGCTCATACAAACCATACAATTATAAAAGCCAATGCTACATACAAGTTGTTGCTACGCGAATGGCTTGGTAAAAGAAATTAATCGAAAGGGCTTAAGCAAATTAAATGTAAGCGGATGCAAATAAATGTGGAGGCACTACAAATATCCTAACAGAATATAGCATGACTACTGAAATGGAAACATTTATTATTGTACTTAATCTTAACAATAATTGTTTGATTGTACTCCTTTTGTTTAACTGTGCTAAAGACAATCTCTCGCGCGCCAAGCGTGTCATTCCCATTCCACTTCTCTCTTCGGTGGTTGTAAGCCAGCCGCTTCTTTATTCCGGTCTTGATATTATTTCGACGGACGAATATACCTCTTCATCCAGAAATACTGTCTTCTCTTTGACTTCTGGATTTATTGGGATTTAGCTTGGTAATCTCGTGAAGAACAATAGTTTCTTATCATGCTAATAGAATTAAAACTATCTATGATTAACTTTTTGATTTATATGTTTAACTCTTCGGCCAATAACACAAAACAATCATATAAAAACCATTGGTTGTTACTTACAACGTTTACATCTCTCAATATCAGTACACATTTAAGGGTCAGCGAGGTTAATTAAATTAAGATTACCAGAACTAATCCCATGCTTGAAACATAAATACCAAACCAAAAAACACTTGTTTATTTAAGTTTAAAAAAATATATTTTGTTCAAATCTACAAAATAAAATAAAATGACTTCTCAATTGGTACTTGATTAAATTCAGTAATTAAAAACCTCATTCACTTTGATGTATTGATTATTTTCTCTCGCTTCAAATAAATTCCAATCACTTTATCTGTTAAGGATATTGAAAATTATGAGTAGTAGTATATTCTTCATCTTTATTTAAATGTGTAATTCTATGTTTTCTTGGTATTCTCTAGTTAATACAGTAAACATTTAGACTGACTGAAACAAGAAAAACTGCGTGTACTGTATACTTTGTCCTTTTAGGAGGGAAGGGAAGAGTAGTATAGAATGTTTTTATTAGTAAAAAATAACTCCGAGTTTTTCTAAAGTAATAAGTAGTACTACATACAATACGTTGTAGTTGAGGAAAAAAAAATGGGGTTTTGTTAAAATTTTGACATTATTTTTTTATTATACAAATTTGATAAGTATACTTCGTTTTTTGGTACAGTCCGTCTACCGTTCACTCATTTACACACGACAAAGATAAATTTTGGAACATTGACAGTCCAATTAAATGATTTCGGTGCTAGATATCTTTCCAATTTTATTTTTGCATGAATCAGAGAAGTAAGAAGGAAATTCCAGTAAGAAAAAGAATACAAATGATGTTAGAATTACATGTTGAGAGAAATGAGCAAATGTTGTATTTTTGGTAACTTTACACCTTTGTCAATGAGTAAATAAGAAGAGATGTGTGTGTGTGTGTGTGTGTGTAAATAGTTAGAATATATGACTTCAATTCAAATCATGTGATATCGATGGATGTTTATGCAATAATAATCGTTTCAGTGGATTCGATTTTGGTGTTTCAGGGGATATTTGTCGTGAACTAGTTAAACTTTGACTGCGAAAATCATGATTACGTGGTGGTAATTGGAATGTGACAACACGATTCTCCGGTGAATAATGATGATGATGATGATGATGTTGATGTTGATGAGGATGTGTTCTACCATATTGATGTAAACATGGACGTGAATTTGACGATGTGGTGGATTTCATTGTAGGTAAATCTTCTTTGTTATGTTGTTTAACATTACAACTGTTATTATTATTATTATTACTATTATTATTATTGTTATTATTACTAGTATTCATACGATCCGTATTTGTTTGTGTTGATGTAACAGCATCATTTTCTATAACAGAATAAATCGTTTTTAATCGTTTATGAGTATGATTATTATTACTACTATTATTATTATTAGTAGTATTAATACCAATATTATCATTATTACTATTAGAATGATGCTGAAAATGATGAGAGGTATTATTCAAATTAGTTGATTCTTTACTAATTATTGTATTTTCATTTCTTATAAACAAACATTTCATTAATTCATTAAAATCTTTATGTATTCGATCAAGTTTTTGATTGATTTGTGTTAATTCTGATTTGATGATAAGGATATCATTTTGTGCTTGTTGTAAATTGACGCTGACTGTTGAAATTAATTGATTTTGTTTAATTAATCTATCTTGTATACAATGAGAATAATATTGAGGATATTGATAATAGTAATAATTATAATAATCGTGTTGATTATCATCAGCATTGACAATATGATTAGGTGATTGTAAAAATATATCATTCATTTGATGATTGTATTGTTCATTTGGACAAGCATTGTCTGTTGTATGATATCTGTTTGAAAAAACAAAATTTAGAAATAATGAGAATACGATAACTTTGTAATCATAAAATGAAACATTGAACATTCTATTATCACATTGATAGATAATAAGAGAAATCGAAAACAACAACACTATTGTCAGCTGACTATGAATGACGATGATAAATTGATGGGTTTTTTTTCAAGAAAAATCATTTCTAAAACAATACAGCAAATGATTGATTGATCGTTGTTGCTTATTTGAAAAAAATCTTTTCAAATTAACTTAATTAGTCAGTGTTGCATTTGGATTAATTAATTCATACATAACACAACGTTGGATGTATTGTTGATGGAGGGAAATGTGATTTTTTAGTTGATAAGAATTTCTATGAATTGATGAATAAACTTTAATTCATAATGAGATATGATAAGAAAGATTTCTAGTTTCAATGAATAATTCAAATATATTCAAAATACTAGTTTAGTGAACGAAGACTTCAAGACCAGATGAAGTTTACATACTCGTCAATTGATATTGTGGTGCGCGCTACCTATAAGTAGTATATGAGGTGAGTGTCAACGTAATGTCTGGCAGCAGATGATGGGGGAAGATCAAGAAAGGAAGAAAGGGGAACACAATGGAATTTGTATGAAACGTATGAATAGTGACAATGTCAGACAATGGATTGAAGATTTGCAAATGAACGGTTTACGATATGGTTTTCCTATTTTACTGAGTAACTCTGTAATTTTCGTTAAATACAATTCGGTTGCCCTGACCTGTGTTCTCCTTCACTACAATACGACTGAATGCCATTACGAGTTCACTTTAGTCGGTAAACGGCGCCAAGACAATTGATGCAGTGACACTATAGGCTATTATAATCCGTTGTCCACGGCCCGGCTAACTATATCAAGAAGTCTTGATATGGCGTAGAAAGTGTATTCTACAAGCACCCAGAAAATATGAGGTCAACAAGCACACAAATCGAGCTGATTTATACATGATAGAAACGTCCTTAGGAGAGTCACAAAAATAGCTTGCTAAACTAACCTATCAATTAATGACAGTCAAGGATTTTCCGGGTGGGAAATGTAATCTCAAGGTCAACTAATGCGCGAAAACATAAAATATACAAAATTAGGACTGCTTCTGAGTGAGTTCTGAGGATCTATTATCCCCAACAAAAACAGTAATCTATATGAGAAAGTCACGGTTTATTAGTGAATTGGGTACACCTTATTTTCTTCAGAATTTTATTTGCAAAGCAAGCAGATGTTTTAACTGTGTCTTCTAGTCTTGAAAACACTTTAATCACTGCATACATTGGGGTCGGACACTTTTCTTCTGGTTAGTAATATTCTAAATGATACTTCGTTGCATACTACTAATAAGTCATGTTGCAAGTAGTATTCACCACATTAGTAAGAATTTGACTACTAGTTTGGTCTGCGCCGGATTCAAGTAACAAATATCTACAGGGAACGTTATATTTCATTTGATATCATACATTGTGTATATACTTATCAAGTTGACCACAAAATTTGTCTAATGTTCATTTGAGCAGTGGACTTGGAATTTGAATTTCAGCTGTTAGCAAAACTGTTGGGGGATGTTAGATCCCCAGAACTCGCTTCATAAATATTTTCATTTTGGATTTATTTCATGGACCGACCAGTTGACCTTGAGATCACATTTCCCACCAGCGAAATCCTTGGCTGTGATTGGTTACTGTGTTATTTTAGTGTGCTGTTTTTGTGACTGTACGAAGGACGTCTCTATGAGTATAAATAAACGCAATTTGAGTGGTTGGATTCATTGTGTGTTGGCTAGGTGTTTGTAGAATACACTTTCTACGTTATATCCAGACTTCTTGCTGATGCAGTTGGGTCAAGGGATCATATTAGTCTATCTGGACGCTGGTTCATTGTTTGTTCTCGTTATTTGACCAAGGTGAACCCGTAATAGTTTTAAGCATACCTGGAGACGAGCATAACAATTACAATTATTACCCATCAGTGATATAGTCACTGACTATGTTCACTTAATTAGAAGATAAACAGTTTCTGTTCATTGTTGTTTTGCTGAGTGAATAAATCTATTTTGTTATCTGGAGTAAATAAAAAACTTATATAATAAAAGTTAGACGCTAACACTCTTGGATGCCCAGCTCAGTGGTCCAGATGTTGAGCATTCACGTACAAGACCGATGGTCCTGATTTCGAATCCTGAGAGTAGCAAGAGTCGTGCAAGCGCACAGATAATAAGTCCCATACCAAGATGAAACGGCCTCCAAGGGTGCTTCCAGTTTTCTTATGCTGGCATAACAATGATTTCTACATGATTTCAACGTAAAATAACAATCTCTATAACTTCATAATCAAAAATCAGTAGATTATAAGTTATTTAGAAAAAGGTAGTCTATATAAGTAAATCAGTGTATAACTTACATTGGATCCTTCTTACAATGAGTTGCAAATGATTTTCCAACTTTATACATTTCATCTAATGATTTGCTTTTTCGGTATACATTCAATGTTGACATTTTAATTTTAGACAAATCAGTAAAATTTTGAAAAGAATTTGATGAATTCATCATCATTGGAAAGCTTAAATAAAATTTATCTTTATTTTCCTGACTACTATGATTGTTTGTTTTATCTGGTTCATTCAATTGTTCAATGGATAAATTGTTGTTTAACTGATGATTTATTATTTCAGAATTGTACTCATTTGATTTAGGAAAATGTTTTACATATAAATCGATAGAATTTTGTTTAGTGAAATTTGCTTTTTTCAAATTAGTATTTGTTTTTATTATTGAATGTTGATCATTTTCATGCGATTGTTTATCATCTTGTTTTAGATGTTGTGGATCAGTTAGTAAAGAGCATGCTTCATGATTTATTTCGTGAGATTTTAAACTATTATCATCCGATTGACTTTCAGAATGAAGATTTTTATCAGTAGTAACAGTGATTGCTGGAATAACTTCTAAAGATGACTGAAATTTGGGAAAAAGAAATAGAAATGAATTTATAAATGCAAAAGAATAATAATAAATTCAGCAGTAACTAATTATTTTGTGTTCTTAGAGCTGAGTGTTTTGGTTGTGGAGCTTTCATTATTGTTCTTCTGAACAACATCATCAGCACAAGCCTCTTCAAATAGAAGTGAAGTATTCGAATTTGTCCATGTTTGACCTGTAGCTTGTTCTGTTAACCAGGATCTTGACTGGTTGCAGTTGACCTTAAGTCTATCGTTGTTTGTATCTTTGTTTTGATTGTATCCTCCTTTTGATCTGTTTCTTGATCCCTTATGTTTGAATATCATTTTTTTTGATTGGTTGATAAATTGAGTCAATGTCGATGTGTTTGTTGACTGCTAATTGACCTGAAGGCCAAGCTTCTAAAAATTCTCTAGTGTACTTTGTCCTCCCCGTATCCAGTATTTCCACGTAGTTTCGATCGAATGCATCTCCATAATTGTCCATATGTATTGATATAACCGAAGAATTGTCGTGGAGTTTGAATGCTAACTGATGTTCACGTAAACGAAGCTGAGGAGGCCGTTCACTTTGTTGTATGTAGTGTTTTGATATCTTTCATATCACAAGGAATAAATGAGTTTTAAAAAAGTTTCTATAGAATTATTATTCTGGGCAAAGTTCTCAATACGACATTATAATGAAGCGATAGGTATTAGTTGAGAGATATTATCGCCGTCTCAAGATTTTCAAGAACTGATATCATTGCTTAGTCGGTTGTCCCACGATACTCGAGCAATGCTTCGGAGACACCTATGATCAAAAACCAATAACCGACGAATATCTTCTATTCTGACTGGCCATGTTTCACAGCCGGAGAGAATTACTGTGCATCAAACTCGTCCTTTAGTCAGCAAACGGATATCTCGCCTTCGCCATAAGTGACGCAGGTTGACAAAAGCCGATCGAGCTTTCTGTGTGTTTTATGTTAACTAGCCAGCTGTAGTTTAGTTTTAATCAATATGAATTTTATCATGTCACATACAGATCATTGATCATAAGCAAGTTAAATAATACTATTCATTAAACACTGACATGAAAGTGAGTGGCAAATCTTTAATGAGAAAAATGCCCATTTGACAAGATTGAGAACCTACTAGTGTTTCAATTTTGAAATGAATTTACATGCTACTATAAAAATTAAAGTAGTTTGGAATTTCGAAATAATTATTAGGTGAATTGAGTTAATACATTTTTTCATGAATAGATAAATTTCATGGATTGTGTCACAAATACTGTTAGTAATAAGAGTTGTTTGTTTTTTCTGGCTAGCGTTTTTCTTGAGAGTTGGTTCCCTATGGGATGTGGTAACTTACCCCATATCAAATCCTGCTCCTATGTCCGAACTTGAGACTAGCTGTAACACCAGGTCTTCAGGCGAAACCGTCTACATATCTAGGCTGCATAACCGGTAAGTAAGGTTGACCTTATGCCGACGTGAAGACACGGATTGATAAAGTAAGGGTAGTGTTACTACAGTTCAAGAACTATCAGGAATCTTTAACAACTATCGACAAATATTAAAGTCAGAATTTTCAATACAAACTTCAAGAATGTATCGAGTGGAAACTTAGAGAACTACAAAAGCCGTTCTCCACAAGATACAGGTGTTTGTTAACAGTTGTCTATGAAACATACATCAGATCCATTGGTCAGACACCATCAACAGCAACCTACTATGGGAGAGAACAAACCAGATTCCAACTGAGGAAGAAATCAGAAAGAAGTGCTGGAGGTAGATAGGACACTAACTTAGGAAGGCAGTCAACTGTGTCACAAGACAAGCCTTCACTTGGGATCCTCAGAGTCAAAGTAGAACATTAGGACCACAAAACACATTATTCCGAGAATCGGATGAAGACATGAAAAGAATGAACAATAAATAAATAGAACTGGATTGGAAGGCTCAGGACAGAGTCGGTTGGAGAATGCTGTTTAGCAGCCTATGCTCCATTGGGGGTAACACGTTCATTAATTCTATGGTTAACATTTTCAGATTGTTTCCTTTTTTTACAGAATTTCGAGTAACAATTTCGTATTTGGATCATTGTTCTGTTTATAAATTCTCATAAATTTTGAAATCCATGCAACTTAACAATGAAGAAAATTAATCCTAAGTGTAACTATGGAATTATTTGATTATTTACGATTGAACTGTGAGTTCAGGCCACACTCCATATATTATAATTCTGGTATTCAAGTAACCCTGCTGGGCTTCAAAACTGCGGGACTAAAAAGCGTTATAAAACCTCTCTCTTCAAATTGATGTGATCTTCATAATCCATGTAACTAAATATCATCCATATACTCAATAATGACCTACTTGAATAAAAATTACCAAAAATCTAGTAAACAGGCAGGTCGATTTGAGAATGGTAAGACTAAAAGCAGCAACTCAAGGTCTGAGAGCGAAGTCATACTACTGACTGTCGAGGGGTGTGACAGCAGTATGGTGTTTCCCTCGGACAACCAGCATCTGCAGCGATGCTGCCTTCTCACCAGGAAGGAAGGGGTTAGAAAATGTCGACCCTAAAAATGTTGCACCTCACCCTACCTCACGGATTTTCGTCTCCGTCGGTAAGGCCTTTTGAAGAGCGGAGATAACACTTCAGTCTTCTAATAAAAAGGCCGTGCGTGATCGGCCTCAAGCAGTTGTCCCTTCGGCTCTATGGTCATGCTCTCAGGTAGTTAAGACCAATACTAATTCAACTTTCTTTTCAGGTTCCTCAATGATATGGGCAGCCAAGAAATGACATCAACCCGTGTACACGTAACAGGAGACGGGACCAAACTAATCACAATCAAATCCTTCCTATATCTCTCAATAACTCTCTGATGTAAACATTTTGAGTCTACAAGACATAATTCCTAGTCTCTTGAAACCACACTGCAAACTACATGTTGAAGCACTTAATGTCCGTCATACCTTGAATCAAATAGGGCAACAAGCTTCCTTAACTAGAACTCCGGATCTTTAATGTTAATGACGCAGAATACCGCATACACTTTATCAATATATATTCAATACGTTAATAAAACATAAAACACACACACTACTCACAGTTGGATCAAATCCTGCTCTTAAATTAAATGATAATTCTTCTGATATTGTTATAGCAAATTGTTTACGAAATTGTGGATATTGATCAAATATCTCTTGTAATTGATAATCTAATGCCAGACATTGTAATTCACAATAAGTTAATGATTTGACATTATAAGCTGAATAGCCCAATCTAGGTAATTCATCCATATCACTGCCGAATATATCACATTTACCTGAAATAAATGAATCAGTGAATAAATATAAAGAAACAAGAAATCAAGTGTTTTAATTTGATTACTCAAATCAGACATTGAAAAGAAATTTGTCATTTTGATTAAGCTATCATGAATGATTAAGGTAGATAATTACGTCATTGGATTTCTTCAACTCAAAAACAACTATCATATCAACATCAAAGTCACAATTTTCAATAGAAATGTTAAGACAGTTAGTTCAACTGTATGGGGCGAAAACTTGGATAACTACGAGTATTTATTAACAGTTGTCTATACAAAATACTTGTGATCCGTTGGCCAGACACCATCACCAACAATTCACTGTGGAAGAGAATAAACCAGATTGTTTCATAGAAAGAAATCAGAAAGTGAATAGGGTACACAATGAGGAAAGCATTCAACTGCGTTACAAGACAAGCCTTCACTTGAGGCTCCCAAGGTCATTGGAAAAGACGACGCCAAAAAAACACATTACGCCAAAAAATGAAGACAGACATGAGAAGAATAAACAAAAATTTGACAAAACTAGAAAGGAAGTTTCAGGATAGAGTAGGTTGAAAAATGCTGGTCAGAGGCCTACGCTACTTTGTGGTTAACAGGCGTAAGTAAAAAAAGTAAGTAACAGAAACCTTAGGTCGTTGAAGAGCTTTGTGTCTCACTTACGCCTGTCACCCCTGATGGAACATAGGCAACCAACCAGCAAATTATTTTACTGTTTGGCGTTCTTTAAGCAAGCTGGATTTCTGTGGGATAGGGTCACTATTAACATGCACGACCCTCCTCCTTTATCCGCGCTTGGGACCAGCAGTAACCGTAGAAGGGCTCCAGTTGGAGTTTTTGTGTCTTATTCACTAAATATATATTTTAGATATCAAATGGACATGAAAATGGTATTTTTAGTTATTTACTATATTCTAGTTAAATTATCGCATAGTTTGATTATGTATTTTCGACATACAACAGTGACTAGTATCGTGAGGAGATTAAACTCTGTCCGGTATGAAGCAGTACCTACCGAAGATAACTGATGATATCGCGCAAAACTGTGAACTGACTGACTTTAGACATTCACACTGTTGAATGTCAGTTCAGTGGTCTAAAGTTTAGTCATTCACATATGAAACCGTAGGTCCTGGGTCCGATTTTCGCGTGTTGGGGTCATGGATACACACTGCTGATGAGTCCTATATTGAGACGAAACAGCCGTCCAATGCTTCTACGTTTCTAATCGTAGTCTAACAATTATCAATTCATGATTTCATTGGAAAACAAACATCTCCACAACTGTCTATTAAGAACAAGTTGATTCCTAACTTGTTTAAAAATGTTTTTGTTATCTGTTCAATTTATTTTGTTCAATCATTCAATGCACAATTTTCATTTTATCAAAAACCCATGAAATCTAAACAAACATTTCTGTTCAATTCAGAGTCATATGCTCAATGTGTTCAGTAAAATAATAACGATTATAATCATAATTTCTTCAAGAAGTAAATTAATAATATTATTGTTATTTAAAAATTGTTTCACATCAGTAGATGTTTAAGGCAGTTAAAAATTTCACACACAGTTTTTTAACAAACAAAAAAAAAATGAAATTGAAGATTTTAATTAGACAGTAGTTACATATATGCATGCAGTTTTCGGTAATTTTCTGATAACTAGAACATGTTGAAAATATTTTGTTGATTTGATAGAAATGATTGATAATTTTTATAACAATAGAATTGGTTCAACTAGTTATTGATTAATTTTCTAGATTATTATGTCAATTTCAGAGGGTTATAATACAGTGTAAAGTTGAACGGCAGTTTTGTTTCAAGTATGGGACTTATTAGTAGTGCGCATCTACGACTCCTGCGACTTGTAGGATTCGAACGCGAGACCTTTGGCCTTGCGTGCAAACCAGTGAGAAGACGTGACTAGTGGAGTTGAACCCTGTTGGGTGTAGGGCAGTCAATACGGAACACAATGGGTGAGGTCGCTCAAAAACCATGGGTTGATTGGAGTTAGACAGTGCCACCGTACGATGACGGCTCAGTGGTGCAGAGGTTAAGCGTTCGTGAGCAAGATTGAAGGTGCGGGACTATATTTTCTGTGAGTAGTAGCATGAGTTGTGGATGCGCATTGTTCATAAGTCTCATATTAGGGGACTAAACAGCCATTTAGTGCTTTTAGGTTCCTAATGGTTGTTCAGCAGTGATTCATTCATGATTTTACTGTTTAAAAACTACAATCTCCATAACCCTATAATGCAAAAACAGTGCAAAGTACTCAAAATAATTGAAAAGCCCCTACTTTATTATTGAAAATTAGAACTTGTGTAAGTTGAGTCATGTTTTTCTGATTAGGCATTGGTATATTCTTGTATTATTTCAAACTAGAAAGATATAGGTTCTCATTATCGTGTAAAATTTTTCAAGATTTTGTAATTTTGATGACAGAAACATTTTGAAAACTGAATTTATATAGTGTTACACTTCATTATAAGCATCGGTTGTACTTAAAGCCTATCATAAGTTAAAATAATAATTAATACCTTCAAGTTTAGTGAGGTGACTTGTTTAATCAGTAAAAATACAGTGCACTGGTTGTACTTTGTATACGGTTTATTACTTTTCTGGTTAGCGATTTTTTTGGTAAGTTAGTTTTTTGGTGGGATGGGGTCACTAACCACATGCCAAACCATCCTCCTTCATCCGGGCTTGGGACCGGCAGTAGCCCCAAAGCTTCTACAGCCGGAGTAAGTAAGTATACGATTTATTAGTCTGTAGTATACAGTTTTAAAGTATGTAAACGTTTTATTTTATCGTTCTCATCTGTTCTAAGCAGAATCATACAACTATTCAGTATCAATTACGGAATCATCCAGAGTTTAACACCAACCGATTGAAAAATGTAAGTAATTTTAGTCACATCTTATTAGGATATCAGAAATATATCCTGATTTTGATATAAGCACTATTTTTGTAGTGAAGGAGAACACAGGTGAGGGCAACCAAAATTGTATTTAACGAAAATAACAGAGTTACTCAGTAAAATAGGAAAACCATATAGTAAACGGTTAATTTGCAAATCTTCAATCCATCATCAATCCATTGTCTTACATTTCACTATTCATACGTTTCATACAAATTCCATTGTGTTCTAATTCTTCCTTTCTTGATCTTCCCCCATCTTCTGCTGCCAGACATTACGTTTACACTCGCGTCATATACTACTTATAAGTAGCGCGCACCACATATTCAATAGGATCGTTGGGGACGTTAGATCTCCAAAACTCACTCGGAAAAGGTTCTTATTTTAGATTTTTTGTGTTGGTGCGCATAAGCTGCTCAGTTGACCTTGAGATTATATTTCCCATTCGGAAAATTCTTGACTGTCATTGGTTGATTTATTATTTTAGTACGCTATTTTTGTGGCTCTCCCAAGGACGTTTCAATGATGTATAAATAAGCTCGGTTTGTGTGCTTGATGACCTCGTATTTTGTGAGTTTTTATAGAATACACTTTCTACTTCTTGATATAGTTAACCTGGTCGGGACAACGTATTAGAATAGCCTATGGTGTCACCGCATCATTTGTCTCCGCTCTCGTTAACCGAGTAAGGTGAACTCGTAATAGTTCAAGCATGTCAAGAATAGATAATATATGATTAGCAGTGGAATCCAGAACGTGCTTACTTGCTTTCGCCTGTTACCCATAATGGAGCATAGGCCAGCGACCATTATTCTCAAACCTGCTCTGTCCTGGACAGGGACGTGCGTTTTGTTCTATTTGGGACCCGTCAGCTGGGTGTACCTGCAACCCATAATTAGTGTTTGAAACAAACGGTAATGAGATCGAGTTTCGGAGTGAATATCAATACTGAAATACAAGTACATCCAGACAAAGACGAGTGGCAAGTAAAACTAAATGCACATCTTGGATTCCACTGCTCGTCACATTCTATAATCGAAACAATGAGCATAGTATACGTATATATCAATCAACACTGATCGAATTTCACTCAAAATATTAACAACGGAATAATCTTATTTATTTCAAGTTGAATAATATATTCAATGTTTGGTTTATTTGAATCTTGGTAGTGATACTTTAAATAACAATATATAAGGCCGTTTATTTTGAAAAAATGGGCATTTATTTCTTATTAGTAAGATAATTTGCTTTAACAAAAAACTTACCTAACAATCCAACAACTGTACCTTCTTCACCAAGTATTTCCAACGAACCACTGCACACAAAATAAATAAATCGTAATACATCACCTTGATTAACAAGATATTCACCAGGTGTAGCAAAACGTGTTGTAATTAATTGAGCTAAACATTTTCGACAACCAGGACTTGCACTTTTGAATAAACTCAATGATAATATTTCACGATTCAAATGTAAAGCAATATCACCGCGTAGATTTTCAGGGAATGATTGTAAAATCTACAATGTCAAGTTAAATAAAAGATCATATATAGTTAATCTTTGAAGGTTAGGATAGATTTATCATATCTAAATGAATAGGAAGTTAAATCTCCGATGCTTCATAACAAGCCATTCGCTTGGAGAGGAAACATTCTGATTACTGAGTGATTTCGGATGAGTTAATACTTGAAATTCTGGTAAACTAAGCGACTGTTTAGTCATAGTTCGTGATTATAAATCATTGTGAATCGGCAATCTAACAAAGGGATCAAACCCAAAAACCTTCCCTTATCGTAAATGATAATAGAATGGGGTAGTCATTCAACATTAGGCTAGCCCTAACTTGAAGCCTTCAAGGCCAAAAGAAAATAAGTAGACCAAAGAACACGCTGTGCAGTGAATCGGCAACCTATTCTTTATTAGGGGTAAAAGATGTAAGTAAGTGAATAAGTAAGCTATTCAGCATAAAGAGGTTTTTCCAAAGTCGCTCCATTTATCAAGTTACTTCATGATGTATGAAAGTACCAGCGGAACGATTTTTTACGCCAAATAACATGCTTATTATAACCAGAAATTTCATGTTTTCAAATGATTTTCTCACAGCTTTGTTAGAATATCCATGCCCCATGAATTTTAACAAATATGAGATTGATTTAGTCACACCGAATTTCGAAAAAGTGTCTTTTGACGGAAATGTTGAACATTGAAATCCAAACTATTCTGAGTGTATCGTCAGTACTGAGAAGCTTGAAGTTTCTAAGTATGCAATGCTAAAAGAACTTATACTAATACAAACCGTATGTATAAATGTAGTAAAGTTTTTCGTTTCAAATTGTTTAATACAATAAAAGATGACAAGTAAACTTATTGAAACATGAAACTTGATCAAATATTATTATTCAGACATTATAGTTTTATTTCTCTATATATATTTATATATAGTTCTGAGCTTAATATTACATTCTGAGAATATTTCACAAGAGAATGTGACAAGTTGCAGATTACACATTTTATAAATGTGATTGTTTTAAATAGGGAAATATAAATACAGAAATTATAACAACTCACATACATTAGAGTTTAAAGACATTTAATTTGGTTAAGCGCTTTTGATTCACTTATTTAGCAGACAGTCGTTCACATAGTAGTAACTTATCTGTATCATTTGTGCTCTCTTATTGTTGTCGCATTTGTATGACCAGGTATGACTGAGTATTTATTGCTTACCGCCGACACACATATTCATCCTACCCGCTTTAATGTTATGCCCTTAAGTAATCTAATTTTCCTCTGTCCATAGTATGTACATTTTAATCCTGTTCATTCACTCGCTCAGTCACTCACCCACTCATTTACTCTTCGGTACTCTAATATCATTGTCACTTTCACTCCCCATGCCTGTGGTTTTGTTAACGAAATCAACGCTTCTTATTCGTAATCTGATTTATTTATACCCCGTTAGGTGTCATTTAGTAGCGGTTATCAAGACAAGCAGTATACGAAGTTCAGGAATTATATCGAATACTGGCTACAAAAAATTCATTTTCAAAAATATTTCACCAAATCGAATGATATAAATATGTTTAAATTATTAAATCCGATTGAGATAAACGATAATTTGTTGTTACAAGCGTTATTAGCAGTGGAAAACTGCAGGAGAGTTTCGCTTTATTTAGGACACGTCCTTAGCTAGATGTACCTACATTTCAGCACTGATATTCATTACGCTACAAACACTCTTACGTTATCACTTAGCTACAGAGTCGAAACGCGAGTTCACTGCTACCCACTATTCGCTTCAGCTAATAATAGAAGCTTGGCACTCAGGTCAATCAGCGATCAACAAACACATCGACAGTGACCTAATTTATCAACCAATCAGGAAAATCATAGGCGACATAGTTTTATGTTTCTGGTTGATGTAACGCCAAACCACTGTATTAATGACCCCCGAACGTTAGACTCCCATCGTTCAAAAATAAGAAGACGGAAGACGTTGGAGAACACTTATTAACAGAATCAAAAATATACAATCAAACATGCGTATTTATACAGTTATACATATAATCGATATTGTCGTTTAAATATTTGAATATTAAATCCAATAGTTCATCGATCGACTGCCCTTGAGATATTTAAGCATTTAATCGATAAGTTCATCAATCCACAATGTGCATGGCTTTCTTCTCGATTGGCTATCCCAACACATAGGATCAAGAAACATATCAAAAAGGGGATGCAATCAAAACAGAGGTGCAAACAACGACAGGTTTAAGGTCAACAGCAACCGATCAACATCGATTTTAACAGAACAATCTACAGATCAAACGTGGATAAATTCAAATGCTTCACTTCTGTCTGAAGTTTGTGCTGATGATGTTGTTCAGGAGAAGAACAATGAAAGCTCCACAACCAAAACACCCAGCTCAGAGAACCAAACACCACCACCACAATAACCGTAACCCAAAGGCGATCCGTACGGGATGGACGTATACCATGTGAGACTGATCAATAGCAAGCCTAATTATCAATGATAAGGTTCAAATAACCAATACACAATGATAAAAACTTTATTAATTATCATCATCTTAATATAAACTTACAGCCTCTTTATCAATACCACGATTAATAGCCCACATAGCTTGAAAAAATTCTAACATACGTTGTTTCAACGGTTTTGGTATATGATGAGCACGGGTGAAATCTTTTAAATCTTGATTTTTTGTTTGATATGCAGAACGTCGTGAATACATACGTTGAATCAATGTTGTTACATTACCAAATACTGCTGCATGCATAAGAGCTGATTTAAATAAGTTTAAAAGAAAAAAAAATAACAACAATAGAAATTGTAGCGTAAAATTTCTCAAGTTAATTGTTAAAGAGAATTTTTTGATCAGCGGTACAGTTGATGGTTATTGCTCTATGCAAAAAAACTGTACAGTTAGATTCCGATTAAAATTGTGATCAGATGATCGTTAGAAACCGCGAAGCAATGGATGGCCACCTCGTCCTAGTATGGGACTCATCAGCGGCGCACATCTAAGACTCCTACCACCCGCAGGACGAAGCTTACTCTTTGGACCACTGAGCCGGCAACTAACTGTGTTAACGTTTAACTCTGATCAATCTAGGGATTTTGAGCAACCTCGCCCACTGTCTTCGGTATTTACTGCCTACACTAATTAGGGTTGAACTGCATTGGTCTGGTGATTATCACGTACCTCAAACGTTCAGGGTTTGATCCTTAGTAATCTACTGAGAACAAAATTACTAAGAAACCCTTTGCTAGAACTAAAGTACTCTCTGATGTTTCCTGATTTTTCATTGTATTTGAGAAGAAGTGATTCCTATCATCTCCGTAAAGCTAATTAAATTCTAGTTAGGTGACTCAATGTTATAATAAACTTTACAAATTATCCCCGATAATGCAATGGATTGAATATATATAATGATATATACTTCGCATAAATCAGTGATCTCCATCTAATTATCGAATCTTGTTGAATAATCAAAGCTGTATCACCAGGTTTTGAAGATTGTTGAGTTACACATTTGAATTCATGAATCGATCAATGTTAGATTACCATTAGAAACTTGGAAACACTGGAAAGGGACTCATCATCAGTGCATATCCACGATTCCTGTCCTCGGCAGGGTCCAAACCCAGGACCTTCGGTCTTGCGCGCGAACGCCTAACCTCTGGACCACTGAGCCGATATCAAATGCATAGCTTACCAATTTTCACAACCCCGTAATGCAATTACATGTGGTCACTAGTGACTAGTTCCGTAATGAATCTTCTCCAAGTTCCAGTGGGAAGTTGTGACCAGTGAAGTTCAACCTCTTCGGTTGTAGACAGTAACTACCGAGGACAGTGTATGAGCTTGCGCAAGACCTTGAATTGATAGACATTAAACACTAACAACATTAAGCACCGGCTCAGTGGTCCAGAGGTTAGGCTTCCGCGCGCCTAACGAACGAACCGGTCCGAGGTTCGAATCCTGCCAGGGGCAGGAGTCGTGGATGTGCACTGCTGGTGAGTCCCATAACAGGACGAAACGGCTGTCCAGTGCTTTTAGGTTTCTAGTCTAACAGTGATCGATTCATGATTTCAAATGAATAATAGAAATTTAATTAACACAGAGATTTAATGTGATTTAATGTCTATATACTTAATATTCTGTAATGATCTTAGTTGGAGAACCATTGAAAATAGGAAGGCACTGAGAAGACGCTTATCACAATACTGTTAAATTATTACTCAACAGTGCGTAACCACGATCCTGCTATCAGGGATCGAACCCCGGACCTGCAAGTAAACATATTTTTCTTTAGAACGTAAACTTTCTGTTCACTTGATCTCTATTTTTTAACTGATAATAACAATAATATTGACGCTAGATAGTCAGTAGTTTGATTTCCGGTTTTATTAAACATCATCAATAGAATCTGACCGGTGCTAAAGGATTAAACAAACATGTGATTAGTTATGGCTCGTTGACCACATGGGCGTGTCATAGGATTCACCGTTTTATTCTCCCCCTAAGATCTTGAATTGTTGATTTTAAAAATGTATATGGGATACATATATTGGATTAAATAGGGACTAATTTTATTTGTATCCATTCTATTGACAATTCTGTTTAAAAAGAGATAAATTTTTATTGAATGGTTTTAGAATAATCTTGTTTAAAAGACGTATCTATTAAAAGGTTAATCAAGGATTTTTGTTACAGTTTGACATATTTGGAAGTGATTTGGAAGTGTTAGAAAATGCATGATTAAAAATCTCACACTTGGTTGTACTTGTCAGTGACGTATGTTCCTGGAATATTTTGACAAATCTAAAATGTCGTCAAAGTGTGTAAATAATGTTGCGGTCGAAAGTAGATTCACTGAAAAGTAAGATTTATTGATAACTGAAAATCAATAAATCTCAGTTAATACTCGCTCATTATACAGAGATTAACGCATCAATACTTTCTGTTATCAATAATTTTTCAAGTTAACTAGACTCATGTTCCAAAGAGGACAGAACGTATGTCCTGAATTCCACTGCTGTTCGCCAAACATTTTTACTTACACCGTTTGTGATATAGTTGTGTCGAGGCAGCCTAAATGAGTTGGGTATAAACCAAAAGAAAATGATCATTTGCAGTCTTTAACATCAATGAATATATTCCAACAACCAACGCAAACGAATTGAACGTCATCGCATAGCACAAACCAGTGGCTGTTTTGACTGAATAGCTTAGTGGATAACGTAATGTCGTTTGAAGCGAATGGTGCTAGGTTTCAGTTCATAGAGTGAATATCAACCCAAACATGTAGGTATGCTTAGCTGACGAAGTGTATATAGAACGAAACGTGCATCCTTGAATCCACTGCTAGTCATGTAAGATCCATTTTTCTGAAGGCTTTGTTTGTGAAAATTCATTTGTAATTTGTTCTTATTGATTCTTTCAGTTGTACATCTGGTTAGTCTTTTCGATTCCATTTTGAGGTGATAATATTTGTATTTTATTATAGTTTCTATTTCATTTGTGCCTTTACTGAGTTTCTATATTTCCTTCTGAACTGCTTTTGTGTTGTTTAAGTTGATACTTAGTTATTACGATGGCCATATTGATTTGTTCCTCTTTTGATTGAGTTGCTTGTGTGGACTGGAATTGTAGCACTTTTCCAGAATAGAAAACACTCTGTGTTATAAAGCAACCAAAAATTATCTATCGAACGAATCTGATCTATCCAGAAGGGACATAATATCATTCATTTGATTAATTGAACAATTGTTGGTGGAATAACTGAGTGGTAATATTTGTTTAGGTAATGATGTATAATTGTATTTATGATGAATATTAGAACTGTCATTTACCCAAATCACTTGTTTTGAATTTAAACTGGGCAAGACAAGTGTCTAAACTTCCGTGAGAGTTATTCCTCAATCTAAACCTCAGTTTAAATCCTACAAACAATCAATATCTATCTCTGTCTATAAAACAGTCAGTTTATTTGATATAACAGGTTACATAAAGCGAATAAGAGGCATTTAACAATGATTAGTTCTAACAGTTTTTTTTATTCAGGAACTGTTGTAATCACTAAATTAACTATCTCCAGTACTTCGAACTGGACACCACTATGGTTTTCATTCAAGAGAAATACGAAGTCAATATGACCCCAGAATAATACACTCATCCATACATAGAAAGATTCTACAAACACCGGATGATATTAGTTGACACAAATTCCATACAAATATAAAATAGGATGAATAACTAAGAGAACAAACTTCACAGTGAAAATTATTATTTTGGTTAAATCACTCTGAGAAACACATCAATGTTATAGAAAATATTACTTTAACTAGTTAAATTAAAAGTCATATTGTGGTGCGAGCTACTTATAAGTAGTATGTGACGTGAGTGTCAACGTAATGTCTGACAGCAGAAGATGGGGGAAGATCAACAAGAAAGGAAGAGTTAGAACACAATGGAATTTGTATTAAACGCATGAATAGTAGTGACAATGGATTGATGTTTTGTAACAGGAACAGTCGTCCAGTTCGATATGATGGACTGATATTTTGCAAATGAACGATTTACAATATGGTTTTCCAATTTTACTGAGTAACTCTGTAATTTTCGCTAAATACCTGTATTCTTCTTCACTACAATATTAGACAAACGAAAAAACCCACAGACAAACAGAAGAAAACAAAACCTGATCATCACATGATTGAATCCTGCAAAACAGTTGCCTTGATAAATTTTTGGACAAAGAATATTTTTCACATATTTTTTTTTATCATATATTTGCTGTCATCTCTCATGAATACTCTTTTAGTCTATTTCGTCGCACTGATTACTTATTTATTTGATTCTGATTCTGTATTAACAAGATAATGTGTCTTACAGACGAAACAAAAAATGAAGATAATGATTTATTTATTCTCTAAAAATACATCTGAATTCAGTAATCAATAATCAAATGAAGAGTAAGCATAGAGAAGAAATTTCTTTTCATTGAGTGTTTCATCATCAGTCAGTCAGTCAATCAGTCAGTTACAACGTAGAACTTTGTACGTAAGTGTACATAAGTTCAGGTTGTCATATCACATCAAAACACAGATAGATTAAAAGAACATGTCTACAGCAGTCGGTCTCAACATACATAAAGCAAAAAGCAAAATTCTCCGATGCAACACAACATGCACCAACCAAATCACTCTTGATGGAGATGCCTTGGAGGACGTTAACACCTTTACATATATGGGCAGCATCATCGACAATCAAGGTGGATCCGATGCAGATGTGAGGGCACGGATTGGCAAAGCAAGGGCTGCATTTCTACAGTTGAAAAATATCTGCGACTCCAAACAATTGTCAACCAAAATCAAAATCAGGATTTTCAATACAAAATGTCAAGACAGTTCTACTGTATGGAGCGGAAACTCGGAGAACTACCAAAGCCATCATCCATAATATTCAAGTATTCACTGACAGTTTTCTACGCAAAATACTTCGGATACGTTGGCCAGACACCATCAGCAACAACGAACTGTGGGAGAGAACAAACCAGATTCCAGTGGAGGAGGAAATCATGAAGAAGCGGTGGAAGTGGATAGGACACACACTGCGAAAAGCACCGAACTGCATCACAAGACAAGCCCTCACATGGAACCCTCAAGGCAAAAGGGAAAGAGGAAGGCCAAGGAACACATTAGGCTGAGAAATAGAGAAAGACATGAAAAGAATGAACAAAAATTGAACAGAACTGGAGAGGGAAGCCCATGACAGAGTTGGTTGGAGAAGACTGGCGGGCGGCCTATACTCCATTGGGGGTAACAGGAGTAAGTAAGTAAGTAAGTATGTTCAAATAGTGGTTGATGCAAGAATAAAACTGTTGCAACTTGAAGTGTAATACAAACACATAGATTCGAGAAGTGAGATTTACTACATAAATTTTTTTAAACTGTTAATTTCTATAAGACAAGATTAAAAACATTATCCGGAGGTTATGAATATTGTGACTTTAATAAGTGGACGTTCAAACTTTATTTCAAAAATTTTTTCATGTCCAAACTATAGAACTCGTAAATTTAAATCAACAATTGGTTGATTGTTGATGCCTAAAATAATTAAATCGCGAAATAGATTTAGATGAAGAAAGCATAAATAAGTTTTATGTGAACTTAATTCATCACGAAACCAGGTTATCATCAATAAAAACGATTATTTAAACAAGATAAAAGAGTGAATTACAAAAATCAATAACGAACGATCGAGTATAAAAAATAGACTGGAAAACATTTAACAGACCCATTGAGAAAGATTTAACAATAAGATTTTGTTTCGGATAAATTATTTACAATGCCAAGACCTGTATCAGTCAGTCAGTCAGTCAGTCAGGTGCAACATAGAACTTCATACGTAAGTATATCAGTTCATGTTGCCATACCTTAACCAGCACAGAGATGTAATTGTCAATTCAAATCCAATAGTAGAAGAGGTAGTAAAGGTATTGGAAGTAATCGGAGAGATTAGGATTAGAAGATATTATTGAAGAAGTATGACTCAATGAGATAAGTTTAGAAAGTCAAAACTAGAGGTGTTGAAGAATCCAGAAGATTAGGATTTGAGAGAACACAAAGAATAAATGCACCGGCGCCATTGCGAACGATTTTGAGCAATGTCATTCAAGGTCTCTAACCATCGATTATTATCATCTCGCGGACCCCAACCAGGTAGTTGACAACTACCGACATGGCTAAGTCCACTTGTCAATGACTTCATGGATTTCTGCCATGTTTTGGTTTGGCCGCCCCTAACATTCTTCCAACCTATTCCTACACTACAAAACAAAGCTCGTCGAGGCAGTCGGTGGTTCGGCATACGTAACACATGTCCCAACCACCTCAACTGATGAAGTTTCATCACTTCATCTATTGATCTGCCATTCTTACCTAGCACCCGATTCCTAATAACAGCATTGCTCACTCGGTTGTCCCAGGATACACGAGCAATGCTTCGAAGACGCCTATGATCGAAAACCAATAACCGACGAATATCTTCTACTCTCACTGGCCATGTTTCACAGCCATAAAGTAAGACGGAGTGAACTACTGCACAGTACACTCATCCTTTAGTCAGCAAACGGATATCTCGCCTACGACAAGACCTGTGAGGATGATATGACTAAACGTGTTTAAAAATTGGCTCGCCTCTTCAACTTGTAACTAGTAAATTTTATTTTGTTATTATTAGCATTATTTTCAAACCATGTATTTGTTGGTAATTTTCTACTTCTTTGCGTTTATATTCTTTATTGTCTGATTATGTACACACTTCTTATAACGTAATGGTTTTTAATGTTTTGTAATGATTATTTTAAGTATATTTATCCACGTCTGACCTACTAATATGGACAAAAACTTTTGTTATCGTATTTGATATTTCTCTTACTATTATCAATAAACCTGTCTTCCTACTATCAACTTGCACTTTTGCCTTTTATGTGTAGTGAAGTAATCTATTTCATTTCATTGTGATTACTGACTCATACTGATTTGATAGGTTTAACATTTTCATTTAAATCATTCATGTATATTAGAGAGTAAAGCCTGATGATGATCTAGTCGAAAACAACAATATTATCAGAGTTAGACATTGACACCGTTGGATGCCGGCCCAGTGGTCCGAGTGTTAGGCGTTCGCGCACAATACCGAAGGTCGCGGGTTCGAGGAGCAGGACTCGAAGATGCGCACTGCTGATGAGTCCCATACCAGGACGAAACGGCCATCCAGTGCTTCCAGGTTTCTAATGGTGTTCTAACAATGATTGATTGATGATTTCAAATGTGTAAAATCACAAAACCTCCAAAACTTTGTCTCAAAATATATTTCTTCATTGGATTTAGGGGTTTTTTTCAATTCTTGGAAGAATATTTCAATGTATCAATATGAAGTGAAAGTGTACGTGTTAATCCGATAAACCAAATAGACAAGAATAATTTTCTTATAATTGTTTATTGATGCATTCATGTGTGTTAGACAATAAAGAAAATAAAATGTTTCATTCTTCATTTATTATTCAATGTCGTTGTGATCATAACAAATTCACACCATTGAACATTTATTCTATGATTCGTGTTTTATTATTTGTTAAGTTAGGATAGATAAAGAATTGTTTTGAGCAATAATGAGTGAATAGTTTGATGCTGACAATGTATTTATCAGAAATATAACTGTTTCAATAGGTATTGTATGACAATTTTGAATGTCTCTAGTTGACATGAATTGATAATGATAAAAAGTGATGAACTATAAAGTTTATAGATTTAATGAAAGTGTGATAAAATAAATTAAATACGTCTGCGGATCCACTAACTACACCTGTAGAACGTTCAGGGCTACTACTGCTCCCATTCCCGGATAAAGGAGGAGGGATGGGCATGGTGAGTTGGCGTCCCCATCCTACCAAAAAACGAACTTGCCAGAAAAACACTAACCGGAAAAGTAAGTAAGTAAGTACGGATCCACTGATCAAACACCGTCTGCAACATTCTTTCGTAGGAGAGAACAAACCATATTCCAGGAAGAAACTAGGAAGAAGCATAGGAGGTGAGGAAATCACTCACCAGCGTCACAAGATGTTGGGTATGTTAGATCCCCAAAACTCGCTTGATAAATGCCTTATTTTAAATTTCACGTTTTCGAACATGAGCTGATCAGTCGACCTTGAGATTTCATTTCCCACCAGGAAAATTCATGGCTATGATTGGCTGCTGTGTATTTTAGTGTGTTATTTTCGTAACTGTCCCAAGGACGTTTCTATGATGTATTATAAATAAACGAGAGTTGTGTGCTTGATCGTATTGTCTGATTGCTGGGTGTTTGTAGAATATAATTTCTACGCTATATCAAAACTTTTGTTTTGCAGTTTGGGATTCAAGGTAGCATACCTGGACGCTGATTTATTGTCTCGTTCTCGTTTATCGACTAAGATGAATTCGGAATAGCTTCAAGCGTACCTAGTGACGAACATAACAGTGGCGACAGTATGGGACAAGCGTTTATTTGGAATTCTCAAGGCCAAAGAAAAAATAGGGAAAAGCGAAGAACATATTATGCTGTGAATAGAAAGCAGATATAGAATGCATGCATAGCAGTCGGTTAGAACTAGAAAAGAAGACCTAGTTCACGGTAGGTTGGAGAATATTGGTTGGCAGCTTATGTTACATTAAGGGTAACAGAAGAATAAAGTAAGCAAGTATTTTATACATGACCTTTTCTTTTGTCTAACTGTTGATAAAACAGCGTTCAAAATTCTTTTTACAGAACATGAAATAATATCATATCATATTATATTTTGAACTTAAAAAAATCATTAAAATTACCTCCAATCAGCATTGTAATCACAGCATAAATTTTTTCATTCACTGTATTCGGTGAAACATTACCAAATCCAACACTGGTTAAACTAGTTGTTGTAAAATATAAACTTGAAACATATAATGCACGTCTTGTTAAACCATTATTAGTTCGATTGGTTGTTGTATATGAACGATTCACTTGCATACGTTCACCTAATTCATATAACCAACCTATAGGATTAGAAGAAATATTTGGAAAGAAAATACATATGATGAATAGTCAGTTAGCTGTAAGACATTTCTGAAACATAAACTTCAAGATATTAACCTTTACAGAGTTAGTATTTTCCAGTATAGAGTTATGGAGATTGATGTTTTACATTGGAATTGTGAACTAATCATTGTTAGACCATTATTAGAAATCTGGAAGCACTGAAAGATGGCCGTTTCGTCTTAGTATGGAACTCTTCAACAGTAATGACTGATTCATGGTTTTGACGCAAGACAAAAATCATAAAATGTGCTAACTAGTGACTAGCTTCGTGGGGAGAAGCCATGGCCAGTGGAGTTCAACCCTGAATGGGTAATAAATGCAGAAGACAATGGGTGAGATTACGCGAAATCTTTAGATTGATTAAATATTGACATCATCAGATGCCAGCTTAGTGATCTGATGCTCAAGCATCTGAACACGAGACTAAAGCTCATGGGTTCAATTCTCGTTTGTGTTGTTAAGGATGCGCATTGCAGATGAGTCCCATACTGGGACGAAACTGCCATCCAATACTTCCTGATTTCTAATGATGGTCTAACAAGGATTAATTCACGATTACAATATAAAACGGGGCTCTAACAATACTGGACTAAATAATTTACTAGTTAGGACAAGTTAGTACAATAAATATAATATAAACCATGTCGATTCTTGACATATTTTCATATTTTTAGTTAACTAATTTGATATATTTATGTAAATAAAGTCGCTTGTCAAGTAAAAAATAACCTACACACGAAAAAAAACAAAATACTGTTTAGTTTTATTCTGTTTGAGTATGATAAATGCTCGCCTATCAGATTATTGCCTTTGATCTTTGTGTATGTATATTCAGCGTATTTTCATAGGTAGTCGATTATATCAGGCCTAGTCAAGTCATAGGATATAAAGTTAACAAATGTAAGGAAATAATAATTTCTTTTCTTATCAGTTATGATCAGTAATATTGCAGTTAAGTCTATAAAAATAGATAAGTTCTTTCGCATTCTTCCATTCTCGATGTTATGTTTACATGTGTGGTTGAATAGAGTTCTAATGAAAAGCTTGTAATAGTTTAAGGTATAGTGAATACACGAGTCCGAATGTAGTTGACTGCATGAAAAAGTAAAGAACGATTAAATTGACTGGAAATTGAATTTGTTCTATTCTTCAGTAATGTGGAATCTCATCCCTTAATTATTTGCTTGCTTATTAACTTGGGCCTGTTACCTCTAATGAAGCATAGGCTGCCAACTACCGTTTTCTAACCAACTCTGCTCTCCATACATAGAGTTCTTCTCAATTTCTATTCATTCTTTTCATGCCCATCTCCGACTCGTTAGTATTCCTTTTTTTCTTTTCCTCTGCGATTACTGAGTTAGCGCTCGTCTCGTGACCCAGTTGGGTTATTTCCTCTATGTGTATCCTATCCTCTTCCTAATTTCATCCTCTCCTGGAATCTGGTTTGTCCTTTTCTACGATGAATTATTGCAGATGGTGTTTGATCAGTGGATCTATAGTATCTTGTGTAGAAAAATGTTGATAGACACCTGTGTCTTGTGGATGATAGCTTTCGTAGTTGTTTAAGTTTTCGCTTCATAGAGTAGAACTGTCTTGACATTTGTATTGAGAGTTGTGACGTTCGTGTCTGTCGATATTTGTTTTGAATTGTGGGTGTTCTTCAGTCGTAGGAATGCTGTCCTTACTTTGCCGAACCGTGCCTTCACATCTGTATCATCTCCACCGTGCTCATCAGTGATGCTGACCAGATTTGCAAAGGTTTACACATCTTCATAAGCTTTACCAGCAAGTGTGACTTGGTTAGTGCATATTGTATTGTATCGGATAATCATGCTTTTTCCTTTGTGCATGTTAAAATCTGCTGCTACACTGGTCGTCTTCTCTTGCATTTGTTGTTGCATGTGGGATGGAAGAGCCGGATCATCTTCAAAGTCTATATCATCCAGCTGCTCTCTAATGTATACTGCGCTCCCCCCTATTTTGACATCTTAGTCCATTCAATCACCAGGAGAAAGAGAAAGGATGAGAGTAAGCATCCTTGCCTGACACTGATCTTTACTTCGAACGAGTCTGTCAGCAGTCCTCTATGCATGGTTCTGTATTCTAATCCATCACAACAGTTCAGTTTGTTGTTGACTATCTTCTCAAGCATATTTAATTACTAAATATGTTTTCATACAGGAAACCATAAATGGAGATATTTTGCGCGATATATCAAAGTTTATTGGTTATATTCCATTCGAATAGCTATCAATATCAGTATTATTGGGAAATAGGTAGAACAGATGCTCCATTCTGGTATGAAATGCCTGAGTAATACACACTCAAAACCCCACCAGCAATCAAATCTCAGACCCGCAAATCTTGTGGTGGGGACCTAATTAATATAACTGCTTATGTAATGTCAAACGACATAATTTTAGTCTCAGTCGATCTTCCAATTCACTATTGAGTGCCCAGCTAGTATTTGAATCGTAAATCGTTCACTATGAAATTTGAAGGCCTGGAATTCCATCCTTGACAGGATTGTAGGTGTTCTCCGTTCCCACTGGATATTCAATGCTATCCTAAATGAAATCTATTTGTGATGAATATAATCTGCAAATTAGAATAAATCTCTACAAAACTCTTTTAATCAAAGTATGTTTAAATCCTAACTAGTTATATTGGCCTACTTTTAGATGAATTATTCAATAAACTAGCTAAAATTAGTGAGACATAATCAGTTTGTGTGTAGCTGATTAGATGGTCATTCACATAATCACATGGTTTAACTGGACAACTATTTAAAGAACGAAGATTATTGAATAGCTGTCTAATCTATATTTTATGACACTTTGATTTCAGTAGCCTGTCATCTATGATACATTTCTTTCATGCTTGATTTGACTTAGAAGCAACTATGACTGTTTCTCATTAATACTTTGGGACGTGACAAAATTGAGAAAATTTTTACAAAAATCAATGTAGATGCGCACTGTTACTGATGAGTCCCATTTCAAGACAAAACTGCCGTCCATTACTTCCAATTTGTTTTCACTAGTGGTCGAACATTGATCAGTTCATGATTTCAACGATACGTGTGAAAGTTAAGGTATTCCTGACAAATACAAGCTCATATTCGTAATATATACCAGAGATTAGGCATTCGAGCGCAAGACTGACAGGAGTAGTGGATGCGCACTGAAACTGATGAGTCCCACAACAGGACGAAACGGCCGTCTTTCAGTGCTTCCAGATTTCTAACGATAGCCTAACAATGATTGATTCATGATTTCAATATGTAAAAACAATGATCTCCGTAACTTTAATTCAAAAAATAACCACCAATTGAGGAATATATCGAGAAGTAACTTTTTTCATAGTTAAAAATCTCATAGACAAGTAATTTTTACCACAATTTTTTTGGACATAAATATAAATGTAGTGAGAGTAGTATGCAAATGATCTTCATAAAACATAGTTTTCTCAAAAGCTTTATTAAATTTTTTCTTAATTCAGAAATCTTATCTCAAAAACATATATATCATTAACACTTTTTCTCTTGTCTTTACAAATTGTTAAATTCCTGTAGGAATAAGTAAAAGACAAGACAAGTACTTAATGATAAATTGTTTTTTACATTGAAAAGTGAAGTGAATTTTATTTCTTTTTTTTGAACAAAATAAGTAGAATCAAGAAGTGTTATGCTCGTCAATTGCTATGCTTGAAACTATTACAACAGGTTCATCTTAGTCGATAGATAAACGAGAACGAGACAATGAACCAGTGACACGGTAGGCTACTCTGATCCGTTGACCCAAAGGAACTAATGAAAAGTCTTGATATAGCGTAGAAAGTGTATTCTACAAACATCCAGCAAGCACAATGATCTCAAGCACACAAATCGCGTTTATTTATACATCGTAGAAACGTCCTTGAGAGAGTCACAAAAATAGCACACTAAAATAACACATCAGCCAATCACAGCCAAGGCTTTTCGTGGTAGAAAATGTGATCTCAAAGTCAACTGATCAGCTGATGAATAAAATCCAAAATGAAGACTTTTATGAAGTGAGTCTTGAGGATCTAACGTCCTTAACAAGGAGTGAATATACCTTGTTGATTATGTTCGAATTTGTTAGGATAAAATAAAGAAAAACGGCTTCTGTAAAATAAGAATGTTGCGTTTCGAGCCACATTTATTGATGTTTCAGTAAAACAACTTGGACAATTTGATTTAGATCAAATGAGTAAATTGTATTGTGCCAGTCTATTATGACTAGTATATTATATCTACATTAAAGAATGTTAACTATTCACAGATCAAATATAATCCAGAGGTTATGTGTTTGCGCGCAAGACCGAAGGTCCTAGCTTCGAATCCTGCTAGTAGCAGGAGTCGCGGATGTGCGATGCCACTGGTGAGTAGTCCTATACCAGGAAGAAACGACCGTCCAGTGCTAACAGGTTTCTAATGGTGGTCTAATTATGATTCGTTCATGATTTTTGTGTGATTAAGGTGTGTATTGATCTTTAGTTATAATGATTTACCCGTTGAATTCCAGTCTATTAATAAAATCACTTTAACGTACTAAAATTACATAAACAAGTAAACCAATTCATTAACTTACTATATTCTCTTGTAAGTTTCGATTTAAATTCCTCTTTACCAATACAATACCAACCACAAGCGAACCAATGAGCAACAAGAAAAAACATACACATTAATAAACCCAATATTACTGTACTATATTGAGAATAACGTTCAATTTTTTGAAATAATCTAGCCAATCGAAGTAAACGTGCCAATTTCAATAAATGAATCCAATTACCCTAAGAAGGGGAAAAGAAAAGAAATATTAGCCTATGAGATAGTTAAATTTAAAATGATTTCAATTGTTATTAATATATTATTGAACTTAAATGACCAATCTCATTCAATAAGAACACTGTATAGATTTATTGATTAGGGCTCAGATCATATCACAATTGCCATGATAACAATCGGTGATAATTAGTGGAAGTGTAAGATCCTTCGATACAACACAACATGCATATATTTGGGCAGCCTCATTGATGAGCAAGGTGGATCTGTTGCAGACGTGAAAGCGCGGATTGGCGAAGCAAGGGCAGTATCTTTTCACCTGGAGAACATTTATAATTTAAAACAACTATCTTACAACCAACAGCGAAATCAGAAATTTCAATATGAATGTCAAAACTAGTTTATTGTATGAAGCGGAAACTTCGAGAACTACGAAAGCCATCATTCAAAAGATTCAGGTGTTTATTAACAGTTGTCTACACACGATACTACAAATTCACTGATCGAACATCGTCTGCAACAACCTACCGTAGGAGAGAATAAACCAGATTGCATCTGAGGAACAAATTATGAAGACTTGCTTTAGGTGGATCGATACACATTGCGGAAATCAACCAACTCTGTCAGAAGACAATTCCTAACTTGAAATCCTCTAGGCCAAAAGAAAAGAGGAAGACCAAAGAATATATATATAGTACGACGAGTATTGGAGACAGACTTGAGAAGAATGAACAGTTATTGGGTAGAGCTAGAAAGGAAGTCCCAGGACAGAGTAGGTTGGAGAATACTGGTCGGCGGTCTATGCTCCACTGGGGGTAACAAGCGTAAGTAAATAAATAAGACATTTAGTGGAAATGCCTCTGCTTTATGAGTATCATATCCGTTCATCTTGAAAATAATCTCTTGACATCTCCAGGATATTCATTTATTAACTCTATAATACAGGCAATAAATCTGTCATATTATCAGTTTGTCTTAACTCACTTTTAATATCTGTTATGTGTATCAGACACTCAAACAATTTCTCTCATCTTATTAAATGCTGAAAAACTGAATAAAATGCAGAGGTCACAGTCATAAATTCAATCATTAGTCTAAGTAATCATGTTCACTGTGTTGAAATGTTGCCTATTTGAGTGTGGTTAACAAGAAACAAAACACTATTAAGCGCCCATCACTATGATGCGCCTTTAATCCTAACATAAGTGATACTTTCTATGGGATTAAAAACGGTGTTTCTTCGAGTTCTAGTGAGAAGTCATGACCAGTGAAGTTCAACCCTGTTAGAGTGTGGTGCAGCGCTCATCAAATTAAGTCGATGAGGTTGCGCAATACCGTAGGTTGATTAGAGTTAGGCATTAACGCCTTGAGATACTGGTTCAGTGAGGCAGAGGTTAGGCAAGTGATACATTTAATTGTAACTTTCGTGTGTTTTAATGGGTATGAGGGCGGATGTTACTTCACAGCTGTCCATACCGTGGAAGGGCTCTGGTTGTCAGAAGGGGCTTTAGCCTCATGACTTCTGATGGAACTCGGGTTTTTTCATGAGACGTCATAACTCTTTTAAATCAAGACATTCAAACTCCCATATCAGAGTTTAAAAAGTTTGAATCTTTTTCTTGTTAGCCTTTTGTAGCGAGTTCGTTTTTTTACGGTATGAGGTCGCCAAATCTAATCCTAACAATCCTCCTTCATACGTGCTTGGGACCAGCAGTATCGTCGGAGGGCCTACAGGACGAGTTTTATTTGTAACTAACGCGCACTAAACGATCCACAATTATCAACACATCAAAAATGACCAGAAAAGGAAGCTAGAGAGAATGTTCACGTCAAAACATTTAGCACTCTTGACGACGGTAATCGCCAAACATCCTGAAGGTCAAACGTAACTACCTCAAATACACTGCCAATAGTTATCCACCATTTTAAACTTATGTAAATCTAGACTACTGTACATATAGTCTACCTTGATGAAGTACAGTTTATTTAGTCAGTCAGTTACAACATGGAACTTTGTACGTACGTAGATCAGTTCAAATCGTCACACAAAATTAGAATGGTAGAGATGAAATCGGTAATACAAAAGATTAGGAGGTGAAATGTGATTCCCTATGAAATATGTTTAGAAAGAGAAAAAATATAATCAAGAATTCAGAAGTTTAGAAGTTGAGCGAAGAAAAAGAATGGATGTTGAGCCATGTCATTCATGGTCTCCAACCATCTATTACTATTTATTGTCTTATAGTCCCTTACACCAACTGATAGGGCTCAGTCCTCTTGTCAATGACATCATGGTGACCCTAAATTTTTGGCAGCCTACTTCTACATTAAACAACATCGTTTGTTGAGGTAATCAGTGGTTGTCTTCATCACCTCAACGAATGAAGTGTCAGTACTTTGTCAGTCGATTAGCCAACCTTACCTACTACCCGTT